TCCACGATAGAAAACTCATCCATTAAAAACCAAATAAGTACACATATCATACATATCATACATACACAACTGCCGATAGATGAGAGAACCACTCGCAGGTGGCCTAAACAAAACAAAACCACACAACCAACCAAACTAAAACAGCAAAGGAATAAAGCAGATACAACACACCGAGCCTTTACTCCTAAATCAACACAAATCATCAACAAAAGACACCAACATTCACAGCCCACTGACCGAAATCCTAGCCTGTTGTGAAAAAAAGCCTATCCACTCCCACTGTACCCCTTCCAGTCCTTAATAGCTGCTTGTACAATGGAGAATGCAGGCCTTTTAATATTCTCAAACAAACAAAGGTTACGCGACTTCCAAAGCCACAATAAAATATATTGTATTCGGGCTTCGGAGATGTCACTCTTATCAAGTTGGCTGATCTGCCACCACCAACACTTAAATGAATCCTGCAATTTAGGCCCTTCCCATCTCACTGGAGATAATTTCCAAACCATCTTTGCCTGCTTGCAATGAAATAACACATGTTCAATAGTTTCCTTATCCTCACCACATATGCAGCATTCACTGTCCACTTCTATCCCCTTTGATCTCAAATTCATTCTCACTGGCAAAGATCCTGTACAGCACTTCCAAATAAAATGCTTCACCTTACCCATAACTTTCATACTCCAGCTTCTTTTTCTCACCTTAATGTCCCTGCCATAATCTGAACTTCCTTGGGCTGGAATTGTTCTTAGGAATTTCTCTGTTATAAATTTTGAGTATGTAGATTGGACAGAGAAAATACCTTTCTTATGTAGAGTCCAGTGCCACCTATCTTCCTGTTGAGGGTTTATGGTGTTGATTTTTAGAATTTGGTCACAAGTAGATGGTGGAAATGTTTTCCTGACTGTTCCTTCATTCCAGCTGCTTCCATCCTCTGTCTTTAAGTCCCTCACCCTCCTGATTCTTCTATCTATACCTGGCAAAAATTCCACCTGCTTCCCTATTAAGTTAGGGATCCAGTGCTCATCCCAGACTTTTGTATTCTTTCCATTTCTTATCTCAATTTGCATCTAATTGCTGCACTTCTCTAAAACAGATAACCAACAATTCCACAACCATGATGAATTTGGTTTCCTTGTAGCTTCAAACAGATTTGATTGAGGAAAATATTTAGATTTCATAACCCTGCTTGCTAGTGAATTAGGTTCAGCTATCAACCTCCATAATTGTTTGGCAATGAGTGATTCATTGAAGATTTTGATATCTTGAAATCCCAGTCCCCCATGCTCTTTTTTCAAAGTGAGTTTACTCCAAGCTACCCATGGAAAACCCCTCTGCCCCTCAGTGTGTTTACCCCACCAGAAATTGCAACAAACTTGAGAAATCTCATCACAAAGTCCCTGTGGCAGCACAAAGCATGACATGGCATACACAGGTAAGGCATTGACAACTGCTTTTATGAGAGTCTCTTTTCCAGCTGTAGACAACCACTTATTCCTCCAGTTTTGGACTTTGCTCTTCACCACTTCAAGAATGTATGCAAATGCTTCCCTTTTGGATTTTCCAATTCCCATTGGAAGTCCCAAATATCTTGTGGAGGAGTGTATCTGAATTCCATCAAGCAAGAAGCTCACTCTCTGTTGCACTTCCATAGGAGTATTTTTGCTAAAGAATATAGCAGATTTGGCCAAATTGACATGTTGTCCAGTAAAATCATGATATGCCTTCAGAATATTCAAAATGACCCCCACTTGCCTTCATCAGCCCTACAAAACAGTAATGTGTCATCTGCAAATAAAAGGTGTGTTAATAGAGGGCCTTCCTTAGCAAGTCTGAGACCTTTGAGACTCCCTCTCTCAACCTCACAATTGATTTTGGCAGTCAACAACTCTGAAATAATGAGAAATAGGTAAGGGGACAAGGGGTCCCCTTGCCTTATACCCCTAGTAGCATGCACCTGTCCACATATTCTGCCATTCACTTTAAAAGAAAAGGAGGGGAATGTAATGCAAGCCATCACCCACTTCACAAACTGACTGTGAAAACCCAACCTAAGCATAGTTAACTGAATTGCTTTCCACTCCACTTTATCGTACGCTTTAACCATATCCAATTTAAGAGCCATAAATCTGTGTTGACCACTCCTGTGTCTATTAAGATAATGAAATACCTCATGGCCAATAATCACATTATCAAGTAAGTTTCTACCAGGAAGAAATGCAGATTGGCTTTCAGAAATGCACATTGGTAAACATGATCTCAATCTGATGGCAATTAACTTAGATATCACTTTGTAAAACACATCACACAGACTAATGGGACGAAATTGATGCACTCCAACAGGATTATGGCATTTTGGCACAAGTGTAATAAGGGTTTGTTTCCAATACCTTAGTAAATGACCAGATTCAAAGAAGCTTATCACTGCCCTGCACATGTCTTGTTTGATGATGGGCCAGAAATGTTGGTAGAAAAGTCCAGTCATGCCATCCTCTCCCGGAGCTTTCTCTGGATGTATATCAAACAAAGCAGATTTAATCTCGGTTTCATCCACTAGGGCCACCAGAATATTGTTCATCTCTTCGGATACTTTGCTGTTGATCAATGGTAATAGCATGTGTCCATTTCTGGATCCTTTAGAGGTATAAAGCTGGCCATAGAAATTCATAATTGCTTGTTCTATGTCCTTCTGATCATCCACCCAACCCATATTATCAACCAACAGTCTCTCTATAGAGTTCGTCTTTCTTCTTTGAGCTGTAAAGGCATGAAAAAATTTCGTGTTTTTATCTCCTTCTTTGAACCACAAAGCTCTAGCCTTCTGTTGCCAAAAAAGCTCTTCAGACACATTAGCATTATCCATCTCTCTTTGAAGTTTATCCCAAGCCTCCCAGTTTCTCTCACCCCCTGCCCTCCTCATCTCTTCCATCTGAAGTGTTAATCTGCCAATAGTGGAATTGTGCTCTGCTCTAAAATATTTTCTCCACTGAATAAGTGCTTCTCTCACTTTTTTGATTTTTTCTTTGATCTGAAACATTGGAGTTCCTGTTCCAGGTATTTCCCAGGCCTTTTCTACCACTTCTGCCACTCATTCTTTCTGTATCCACCTCTTATCAAAATGAAACCTCCTTCCAATTTTAACCTGAGGCTCTGCAGTCTTGAATATTAATTGACAATGGTCTGAAGCTGTTTTGAATAGGCTGGTAACAGATGAATTAGGGAAATGGATGTGCCATGTCGATGAAACAAAGGCTTTATCTAAGCATTCTTCTACAAATCCTTCACCAGTTCTATTATTAGCCCAAGTATAAATTTCACCCTTCATTTGAAGTTCTTGGGCTTCCATTGATGTCAAAAAATTGGTGAAACCACAGAAACTGCTAGCTGGTCTAAATCTCACTCCTTTCTTATCCTCCCCCCTGCAAAGGTCATTCCAATCCCCAATTAGACACCAAACTTCCCCCCATTTGTCTCTCTCCTGCAAAAGCTTGTACCATTGGAGCTCTCTTTCCTGTCTCACTGAACTGATGTATACAAATACTGCCCATGCTTCTTCTACTGGCATACCTTGCTCCTTGTATTTCACAGCAATAAAGAAAGAATCACTTACAATCTCCAACACTTCCATGTCTTGTGTCCATAACAAAAGAAGCCCACCACTAGATCCCCTGGGATCAACCAAAAAGTGTCTATCTTCAAAACCAATCTTCCTACAAACTGAAATGGAATTTTTTTTTGATTTTTTAGTTTCTGATAAAAAGACAAAACCTGGGTGGTGGAGCCTCAATGTCTCCTTTATCTGGGGAACTGTAGAGGGCCCACCCAGACCTCTACAGTTCCACACCAGAGCAATCATTGATATGGTGAGGGCTCCTTAAGGTTGACCCTCTCCACCTTCTCCTGAACTGACAGCTTAGCCTTCTTTTCTTTGGAATTTGTGAGTTGCACTTCCTCAGGCACTACTTCTGTATTCTCCCAACCTCTTTTGCTCATGTGGTGATCCTCCTCCATAGATGATTCAGCAATGCTTCTCAATAATCTTCCTTCCTTCTGAGTATTTCTCTTCCAGGTCCTTTTTCCAACCAGAGATGCTGGCAAAGTTCTTTTGGCCATAACATTAGTAGTTACCTTAATATTTCCCTCTCCTGAGTTAAGACGTTCCTCCAATGCCTTTCCTGACACCAACTCTTCATCGACTATCACTTGTTTCTGCCTCAAATTCTGATCCTCAAAAAGAATTAGATCCCTCTCCATATTATCAGAAGACTGACCTGGAACTAGTTTGGATGAACTGGATCTAGCTCCTTCATGGGTTGGCTCTTTAAAGGATGACTTGTTGGACCCCCCATTAGAGTTTCTAGCTATAATCTCATTATCAGCAATTGCATTATTACCATTACTGCGAGAAGAGGGTTGGTCTTTCTCCTGTTCTGAAGATGAACCAGCCATATTCCAATTCTGACTCTGTAAACCTTCTCCAGCTCTCATCCATTCCCCAAATTGTCCCTCCCTCAAACTATGATTTTTTACATCCTGAATTCTTTGGGAACAGACTCTCTCAATATGCCCCACCATCCCACAATAATAGCACAAATTCACAAGCCTTTCATATTTAAACGTCACTGTAACCATCTGAGATCCCAGGTTTTGTATAGAAACCATCAATTTTCAGTAACATGGAAAATAAACTATATATTGACTAACAACCATCATAGTCTGTAATTCAAACTTCATGATAAAATTGAAAGTGATGAATTATATTCATCCATATTACTAGAAGCGCCTAAAAAGACTTTTCAAATACATAGACTTCTATCTTTTGTTAGATCCAAAATAAACTACATTATTCCTAAGCAGAATAACGAAGAAAATGAAGCTAGTTCTTAAAAAATAGATACTTGTAGTGAAGTAATCATAAAATCAAATAACAAAATATATAAAATTGAACAAAAAATTCAAGAGAAAAGATATATAGGAAATAACAAAATTACTTTCATTATATCATATCATAATAATAACGAAGGAACATTCTTTATATAAAATAAGGATATTTTTGACAATATGATCAAGCTCTGCAAACTGCAAAGTGTACAAGTTCCAATTCCAGTATCCAATTTAACGTGATGCAGATTTGCCATGAATTGACTTGTTTTCTGGACAACCTTTGTTTAGGGAAGTTTTCACACTCCACCACAAGTTGTAGTTGGAGAAAATTGCATATGGATCGGAAATAGGGCTACTTTGGGCTGAGACAATACACATCCACTACAATGGATGAAGCTACTATTTGTCCTGATCCGTCTCATCTGTTAAGCCGTTTGGAAGATATTTTGGATTCCGACCCTAAACTGTGAGTAATTGAGTAGAGTTACTCATCATATTCTTTCTTCTAATCTTTAATTATGCTCAGTGATGATATTAATTTGTGAATCCTAGCAGTGGAATTGCCTCTTCGTTGTTTAGTCGTGCAAAGTTTTGTCGGTAAACACATTTTAGATCGTCATGGTGTATTAACGGGTTTGTATAGCGCAATATTTATTATCAATAATGCTGAATTTGAGTTCTTTCTTCAGTGTATTATGTTAAATTTTTAAAATTAATTTTGGATTCTGTTTGTTCATAACCTATAATGCTGGTAATCCTTTTGTCACTTATTGCACCCAGTGATGAAGTGGGCTTTATTCATCCAATGCAGTTTACTGCATTCGCTGCACTCACTGAAGAGGCCAATAGTTCCTCATCCTCGTCTTTTGGAACTAAGCCTCAACCAGAAGATGGTAGTTCTGACTTTTTTTGGCATCACGGACATAAGCTTGGCATCTGCACCTTTGTGCTTGTTCCTCTGTATCGTGCGGCTAGAGATGCATTTATGGATGCTTATAATCGATATGTAATCTCGTGCGACTCTCGAGCAAAAACAGGTGATGAACTAGATGGAAACGCATTGTTCCTGGACATTATGGAAAAGGAAGTTATGAAGCATAGCAAGACACTTCTTCTATTAAGCTGTGATTTTGGCACTGCTTGGAATTCCAGGTAGTTTTTTTGTTTTTACGATGTATGCCTACTTGTGTTTGTTCCACACAAATATATTTTATCTCTCTGGTGCTATGCAGATATTGAGCGATTAGGAGCTATTATCATTCCAATTTCCATTACAAAGTAATTTGGAGTATTGGCATTAAAAGAAACTTCTATTTAGTAGTTAGCCTGAAAAGGGTACAAGAAAAGAAAAGAAAAGGAAAAACTTAGTTCCATTAACCACTGATATCTGGATTACCTGTAAATGTAATTGGTATAGTTTTGAAGCTATTATCTTTTGTTAAACCTGTCAGAGATATATTTTTTCTCCCTCTTAATTATTGAATCTCATTATAATAAAATAGACAGGGTCAGGATAGCATAGACTAGTTTGATGGAACATTTCCTCCTCTTGTTTGTGGTGTATATGGGTTATCTGATCATTGTGGGTGCTGCTTAGTTTTGAAATGTCTTTAGCATATGCAATAACTGAAATAAAGGTAACATCTCACTTCTACATGTAAATTCTATCCATGCTCCTTCATTGGAGGCCTAGTTTTCAATAAAAGAGTTTCGATGTTGTATTTGTTCTCAACTACTTCCTATCTGTATGCAACTTAGCAATGTTGTTTGTATGTTCTTTTCCTTTGTAGGAAGGTTATTGTGTTGAAGAAGCAACTGCTTCCAATGTTTATGGATGAACTACTCTTATCAGCTTTAATTCTATCATTTTCACCAAAAAGCGAACGTGCTTGGAGCCACAGGTAGCAATTGATTGTCTACTTATCTTATAACACTTGGTTTACTTTGCAACTGTATCTTGGTTCCATTCTTTCGTGATGTATTCAGATAAGATGTGCTTTGCCTGCTCATGTTAAAATACAATAAATATGCACTATTTGTTGCAATAATTATGCACTATTTTTAACCTATGCTAAGTCTACATCTGTTCATGTTATAATCACATAATTTTTTTACCACCTCTAAATGATGTCTCACTGGTAGGAGGTGGGTGATCAAGATGATAGCTGCAAAATGTGCAAATCTACAAGAGATTTTGGGAAGAGAATCAGAGTTAGTGAAAACTCTTGCTGAGGTTGGTCAGGAATTGTGGTGCCATGAATACACCATGATTTAGACTAATTATAATAGCTGTTTATTCTTGAAGTTACAAATTCCTAATTGTTCCAAATGTCTCCTTGATTTTTTTTTCTTATTCTTGAAGTTACAAAGTTGATTTCTCTCTCTCTCTCTCTCTCTCTCTCTCTCTCTCTCTCTGTTTTGCATGTGTTTTACAACACACCCCTATCAGTGGTTGCAACTTTTGAATTAGAAACACGTGTTATGCTTATGGAGCTATTGTCATTTTAAAACAAATATCTAGGGTATTATTTGTAACTATGCCTTATTGAAATTTATATCGATGCATCTTCCCTTGAAAGCTTCTATATAACTCAATGTTATTAATGGCGGACAGCAGTAAATGCCGGTAGGCCAAAATCCCGCCATGGCGGCCATTGTGGCTGCCTATGGCGCCGTCATAACAGCATAACTGCCATTCTTCAGAAATTTAGCATGACAGTTTGTCGAAAAACTGCTTCGCCATAGCCGCCATTTGATAACACTGATATAACGTTCCTTTCTTTTTATTAGACTATTTTTTCTTCTTAAGGTACTTGAAATGATATCTTTTATTTGATGACGTTAATGAACAATTTACTTCAGATATATGGTGAAGGAATTTCGTAGGCGATATGATTAAAGCTACATGTTTATCTAGGTGTACTCTGACATGTGCCTGTGCAATTTGATGTAGATAATTCTGCCAATTACTACTCTGTTCTATCTCCTAATATAGTCGACTAGTTGTAGCATGACACATTTTAAGATTTTCAGTATATTAGATATTGATTCAATTACCTCCTAAGTTTGAGTCCCTTCACTTGGGTCCAAGAAGTTCAATGTTGTATAAACCATTTCAATTTGTGTCCTCTGTTTTGGGCCAAATCGACCTCGGATCAAGATTAGATTATTTCTCCTTCCCTCAATTTCCACATGCAACTTTTGAGAGTTTTGACCTATTATTCTTTGTTAAAACTTTCCGTCCTTTCAGAATTCTTTCGAGGTTGCTGCTACTTTATCTAATCTTGGAAGCATACATGGCAGTGTTCTGCCGTGGCTTTCTTGAACCTGAATATTGGTAATCCTTGTTTCTGCTTTGTCGCAGAAATCTAAAATGAATTATCGTGCTTGGAATCACCGCTGCTGGATGGTTTCCTACATGTCAACTTCACAGGTCAGGTTAAAGTTAGGCTAGGGGCCTGTACTAATGGTTTTTTTATCTGTCAGTCCATGTATTATTCTGCTACTCTATTTATGTTTTGTTTTAAGAGAATAGTTTTTTTTTCTCTTTCTTAATCTTGTTACCCACCTTTTTTTTCCTATTTATTCCATTTACCATGTGTGTATGTGTGTGTATGTTTATGACATAGGTACTCTCAACGCGTTTCTCTATTTCTATTTTTGATTGTTTTGCTGATATATATTTTTTGGCTTCAAATCAGGTGCTACTTGAGTTGAAGGGTTCAAGAGATTGGGCTGAGCTTCACGTTGCTGATAACTCTTGCTTTCATTACCGAGCTGTAAGTTTTGAACTTGTTGTATGCTGTTGTCTACCATTCTGAATAAACCTTCATTAGAAGAGGCAAGCTCTGTAATTGCCATGACCATTAGGTGTTGGTTTCAAATATATTGCACATATCTGTGTGTGTGTGTGTGTGTGAAGAGGAGGGGGTGGGGATATGTAGCCCTTTCAAAAAGTGAAAATCATTTAACACAGACACAAATAGTGCAATCTCTATGAAATTCACAATTAGGTTTACTACAGGCTACAGCAAACAATAGTTTAGGAAATTACATGAACTAAATAATTTCTGAATTATCTCCTAAAGATGGACTTTTAAAGAAGTGACTAATTTTGAAAGTGCATCTAGAAGAGTTAAGTACTACTGCATATCTCTGTTGGGCCAATAGATCTTTTTTGGCTAAGAGTTTTCTAAGTTGCTTGGGTATGATCAAGGCTTCAATAATGTGTTCTGGCATCTCCTTCGTTGATCTGTGAATTGAAATATTATATTAAAATTGTTTTTATTTCACGATAGTATTTTCAATATTATAAGTGTAACTATTGAGATAGCCTGTACAAACAGAACTAATAATATTGTGTGGGATGTCAGCGCTTATTACTCCAGATGGTAGAGAATTTACAGCTGCATAAAGAAGGCTTGTCGGGGGGAGAATTTCATAAAACATGGAAGGTTTGGTCCATAAACTTTTTTGGAATAACATTAGCTTCCAAATTTTCGTTCCCATATTTATCATGAAATTAAGCACACTGCCTACCAATATTTTATTTCTAATCAGGAATAAGATGCGCAGCCCAGATGATTTTGGCGATACATTAGAGTAGTTGAGTAATTTTTTTCTTTTATCTATCTAAGAGCGCAATTTTTGTATGTTACTTCAGGTGCTTCTATTTATCTCATGAATTTGAAATAGCTTTAATAGTTTAGCTCACGAATTTAAAGGTTACTTAGAGCATTTACAAGCTCTATCTCGTATAATGGAAAAATTAAACTCTTGGAGAGACATGAAGTTCTTTGATTCATGNCAGATACCTTGTGTTCATATGCTTTAGGGATAAATGCAAAACCTACACTCATCGTCTGGTCTCATTAGTCATTACACACACACACACACACACACACACACACACACAAAAACATTTGTTTCCATTTTGTAATTGCATGCATTTAGAGGATGTGGAGAGGGATAATTTGTATACCACAACATTGTTCAAGGGTTTAAAAATTATTGGACCTTTTCATTGTACACAACTGATTTATTTATTTATTTATTTATTGTAATTTAGCCATGGTTTATTTACGCAATAAGCTAAGAATTCATTTTTTCTTCTCTTTTCTCTTCCACTCTACTTGTTTCAAGGCTTTATGGCTCCACCGTCGCTTTCTTTCTCTGGTCTGGTTGAAACAACATTTACTGTCCAACGACGATAATCAAAGAAATATTTACTCCAATTCTCGCTGCACAAGCTGCGACATTAGTGTGTTCATTAAAGATGAACTGATGCTATTTGATTCGTGCATAAATTTCCCTGATGAAGAAGATTATTTCGGGGATTATCGAGCACAGGCGATCCATGCTGCCACCTACATTATGTGGCTTGCAAAGGTAGATAATTTTTTCTTTGGTGATCCTATTTTATAAAAGCTGTCTCTGATGGTGCAGTTTCATAATAAACTACTGTTACTGTTTGTTTAGCAAATGCCCATATGTTTTGGTGCTGAGCTTCGAGGAAGTTCCAAGTACAAGGGTTGTCTCAGACGTTTGCTCGACGATGCCGGAAAGAGCTGCCTTTCGGAATCTCTCTACGGACAGCAAGTTTCATGAGAACGGGCCAGTGGGCTGTAGCATTTAGCAATTATTTAATGATTGGGTTCGTTATCTATATCTATAGGGAAATTTTTAATGATTGGGCTGTAGCATGTAGCATTTATAGGGAAATTTTTACACATACTACATGAAATAAAAAAATTTTCAATATTACCTTCCTAGAACAATTAATAGGATATATACCTAATCAAGCTATTTTATTTACGTGATTGCCTAAATATCAGTTTCCTTTTGTAACGTCCTCTATCCATATCAGTTATCCTTTGGTGGCGTGATTTACTCAAATAATTCCTTAATTCCCGCAACTGAAATTCTTTAATTCACGCAGCTCTCAGGTGGTATATATTGAGTTTATGTTAGTATATATTCAGTATATGTGCACAACTGGAATTCCTTAATTCACGTAGCTCTCAAGTGGTATATATTGAGTTTATATTAGTATATATTTAGTATATGTGCGCAACTGGAATTCCTTAATTCACGCGGCTGGTATATATTGCGTTTATGTTAGTATATATTCAGATATGTTGCAATGAAAAAAATGTCTTCCATCAAAAATTGTATCTTCCTCTTTTTTTCTTTTATACATAAAAGTATATATATAGTTTAAAATCATATTATAACAGATTACTTAATATAAAACCATACATATACACAACACCAACAAAAAAATTCAGTTTATGCTATTTTTAAATAGATTATATACATAAAAATTAGGTCTCATGATAAATTTTCTTTATTATATACCGAAAATATATTGACTATAAACCATACATATACAAAAAAAAAAATAAAAAAAATCATCAGTTTATGCTTTGTCAATATAAACCATACATACATATAAGGTAACCCTTATATTATACAGAACATATACCCTATATATACACAACATATAGCCGATTAATTCATGGCCCCACCCATAGTCTCCAATTTTCAGTTTTTTCTAACATGAACCCAGATTAGGAGCCGAAACTGTAGCCATGGCCCTCGTCTCTGCATATGCAGGCTCACTCGACGGCGTCGGTTCTTCCCCTCCTCAACGGCGATGGCGTATCTCGGTGGCATCGCCTCGGTCGGCTGAGTTGTGCGACGGGGAGAAGGAGATGGATTCCACCATCGAGAATCTACCCCATCATCAGAAAATCGTCGCTCGTGTACCATCATCACGCTCGAGAAGTCGCAGGTGATAAAGACTTGGCGAAGCTGCGGATCAGCACGCTCGATTCTCTCCGGCAGCAAATTGTCGAGGAGCCGCAAACAGAAAAAAAAACTCTGATCGTATAAACTTGTAGAAGAAGAAGAGAGAGAGAAGGAGAGAAAAGAGAGAGGGGAAGAGAGAGAAGGAGAGTTATTTGGAATGTGATAAGTTTTTACCTTTAATTACGCATAAACAAAATTTCACCAGATTTAATCTCTAATGTGGTATTTGTGCAAATAAAATCAATAGATTATGTTAATATGCTAATATTTTTTAGGGGTTATATTTATATAATAAAAGAATAAAGGGACCGTACCTGGTGCAAATTCCTCATATATATATATAATTACTAGCTAATCCATTTAATAAAACATTTAATCAAACCTATTTCATATTCCCGCCCAAAAACGTTACAGGGCATATATATATATATATATATCTTTAAACACAAACTTTATTTACAAACAGCATTTCTACTACTAGCTTTTGACAATCTACATTTATTTCTTTTTTTTAGGGCCAACATATACACGGCTGGGCACCCGGATGCTTATCCCAAAAGTTCAAAGAATTTAAACTTCTCGAAGGCAAAGTGTACGAGATCACAAATTTCGAACTTGTGGAGGACAAAAGGGCATTCAAGATAACCAAATCACGTCACAAGTTCATTTTCTACAAAGAAACTAACATGCGCGAGATAGTTGATGACGAGTATCTGAGGTTGATGTTTGAGTTCAAGCAATTCAGCGAGCTAACCGACACCGAAACAATTGATCCTTCCACATCTTTTGGTATTTTTTATTTTTTATTTTTTAAATAATACAAATTCTGGTAATCTTATAGTATTTATTATTATTTTTTTTAATTTGTAGACATGATTGGCCGTATTGTCTTGTTTCAAAACGTACATACAAGAAATTCAAATGGAGGTCAAAAGAGATGTATTGACATTGTTCTTGAAGATGTTGAGTAAGTTATATTTCATACAACTTTCGTTTTATTTTAATTTGAGTATACATATCTTTTATAAATTAATTTTTTGTTTTATTGTACAATTTATAAGGGCTGCCACCAAACTTGCGTACTATGGGAAGGATATGCGGATATGCTTCTATCTGCCTACAAAATGTCATCTACTACTGAATTGCGTGTGCTCATAATACAACTTTCCATGCAAAAGTCATTTGATGATGGTATATATTATTTGGCTTAATTTATATTATCATTTGCTCCTATTGTTATTTTAGTTTTATCTTACAATTTTTAATATTTTCCCAAAACATTTATTTTAGTAGGATCTGTTTTAGTTTCCAAAATTTATGATGCTACAAAATTGATAGTTTCGAATGATGTTCCTGAGATTGTTGATCTCAAACAAAGGTATATTATATATCCTAAGTCTTCAATACCTATTTGTTATTATGTTATACTATATTTGATCAAATAAAAATTTGATCAAATAGGTATTGATCTTTTGAATAAGGGTTGTCACATATTGATTTGTTTTTAATCTCTCTTTTCAGCAAAAAATTATTTTTGGATTTGTGGCCACATTGTTGATATTTGGAGAGGTTGGTTTTTCAATTCTTGCCCAAATTGTGTTTGAAAAGTCGAGCGCAAAGAAGAGAGATTTTGGTGCAACTATTGCAAAGACTCCATTTCTTGCATTTCTTAGGTAAGTATCTTTTATAATTTTAAAATTAATCATAAATTTTTTTAATTTTTTTATTTATTGTTTTATTGATTGGTACAAGCTGCATATTTCGGTTGGGGACAACACCGGAATGGTTCGCCTTTTGTGCTGGGACAAAGTTGCTCGAGAGTTAGTTGGAAAACCATGTGATGCCACTACAAGAAATCTGCGAAAAAGTGACGACAAAAATCGTCACCAAAGTGTATTTTTTCGTCACTTTTGGTATTTGGTGACGATTTTCTGGCGTCACACAAGCGTCACTTTAAGTGCGTGGTATTTCGTAAAAATGACGCTCCAATGTCGTCACTATTTGGTTATATTTTTGTTGACAATAACTTCATGCGTCACCATAGAAAAGTATGTATCGTGACGACTAAATCGTCGTTATATGTGTCTCCAAAATCGTGGGGTTATATTGTATTTCGTCACAAATTGTGCAACTTTTAGAGACGAAAGCTGTGTTCGTCACTTTACGGAAATACCTAACATGACGCATATTGTCGTCAACGTATGTATATTTTATTCGTCGCATTAGCTTGTTGTTTCGTCACTAATTGTGTACCCTTCCACGACGAATGAGTTTCATCATCTTCTTAAAATACATAACATGACGAATATTGGCGTCATCGAATGTGTATTTTATTCGTCTCAATAGATTGCATTTTCGTCACTGATTGTGTACCTTCTCCGACGAATAACATTCGTCATCTTATTAAAATACATAACATGATGATTTGTTTTGTCATTATTTGTGTATGATTACACGACGATTATTACTTCGTCACCCTATTATGTTACTTATCCTGACGAATATTGTCGTAATATTATTATACGCGTCGTCATGATTAAACGATATTTTAATGACGTTTTACTCGTCGTCACCATTTTAAATTTTTAAAAACCATGATTAATTCGTCACTACAGGATTACGGATTTCGTCATTTAATACTATACTTATAAATGACACATTTACACTTCATCACCAATGCATTAACATTTAGCGACGAATCTAATTTGTAATTAATTGAATAGCAAATGCGACAAAGCATTTCGTCATAGTAAATGTTTTTTATTGGAGACGGTTTATGTTTAGTCATTAAAGTCCGTTATATTGTGACAAAATTATTCGTCTTACTATTGACCACATTAGAGACAACTTAATTATCGTCATTTTAAAGTATTTGTTTGGGACGACATTTTTTGTCAAGTTAGAGATACAAGTAGTTACGAATTTCATAATCATAAACGGAATATTATTAATGACGAATATATATATTACGAAATCATTGTCACTACAACTTTCCACAAGATGACACCCAAATTGAAATAATGCAATATTCATTATGCATATTAATTGCAAAAAGTAGAGAGTTTTACAAAGTTTATTGCATAAAAGTAAAATACCAATGCTAAATACCATTAATTCCAATGAAATATTATAAATAACCTAAAAAATACCAATGCTAAACAGTCTTTATTCTCTAAACCTCCACGGACTTCAATAAACAAGCCCTTGAGAACTGTTAAAGTTTCACCTGCAAAAGAAAAAAAAAAATTGAAGCCTAAAGAACACACCTCAACTAAAAAAAATGGATAGCTCATTAATATGATTTCAAGCACAACATAATTTCAGAGTATGTTAACACTTACACAACATACTTTAATATTATATAAACTAATCCACACATCCTGTATAATAGCACACTTCATGATTTAGTAAAATATTTAAAGATTCAACAAATGCTTATATCAATCTTCATGATTCAACACAACATACTTCAAGAATTATTCACCACAACATACATCAAGATTCAAGAATTTATAAAAGAATACATCATACATGCATCCTATTACACAACATATTTCAAGGATCATTACACAAGATTTTCAATCATCACTTTCAACACAATTCATCGAATTTCAAATTTCTTCAATTATGAATTCAAGAATACTTCATCAAATTTGATACAATGTCAGCATATATAGTTCATCAAACTTTAACATATTTCATGATAATTCAAGAATGTATAATTATGACTTCATTCAACAAATTTTCCATTTAGATATACAAAATATAAAGATATGGTTTCAGTATACTTACGTTTGTGAATTCATAGTTATTCCATGAGCCATCATTAGCTGCATCAGCTTGTTGAGATTTTCACCCTGCTGGCCAACTTGGCTTCGTAAATCATTCACCTCATCTACGTAGTCAGACACTTTTGTCTTTAGACTGCTCACTTCAGTCTCGGACTCTTGTAGCTTTTGCTGTGTCTGAAGAAGATCCTTGTGAACTTGCTGTGAAGCTACGTCAAAGGCTCTGATGCGTTTACTTGGCGGTTTTGGACCATACCCAATTCCTTTAGGATAACCTGTTCCATGCCCAAGGACCTCGAAGACAATTTCTTCTGAGCTCTTTAAGGTGCCTTCCCCTTCATACTTTTCTTGTGTTTTTTTTCATAAAATCCTATTAAAACATGTAAAATAAAATATATATTAATAAAAACTATGCAAATATAAATTTTTTAAGAATAGCACAGGTATTTAATTACCCAATTCTGCTCAGTTTCTGTGGATGACCACCCTTTCTTTTCTGAAAAATGCGTGCGTTTATACAACTCAATGCAATCACATGGATCTCCATTTAACTCTTTCTCAGACTAACAACAGTGTTTCCATGAAATTTTGAACACTTGTTATTTTACAAATAAAAATTATAGACTTGTTTGATATATTATATGATTATACATTATGTAATTTGAAAAGAAAGTGTCAGATAACTTACAATCTCATTTCGCCGAACTGTAAATGGTTTTCTTCCAGAGATATGTGGGGCTCGCAACATTTTCCTATTTCCCCCATTTACATAACTTATGCGCTGCAACAATGAAATAACTCATATGATGATATACCAAATTATTTCTTCCTTTATTTTAATTGATAAAGGTCATATTACCTTATAATGTGCACTCGCAAAATGGTCACACAACTATTCCCAAGTTTCCTGACTCGGAAAAAAGGCTGGTTTGTTTGCCTTAGCCTCTTGAGTGGAAGCAAATTTCTTGTAATGCATATGCAACTTGTACCTTTTCTGACAGCTACTACTTTTCATCCTTTCAATCAAGCATTGTTTCACTCCAGGGACATCAATATTAACATCTAGATGCATCTAAATAAAAAAAAAACAAAATGGGGTTAAATTGTGATCAAACTTGATTAATTTTTATAAGAATTTATAGAATTACAAACCTGCATATGATCAAAGCTTGGTGTCAAATCCTTTTCCTCATCAATGTCTTTCCACTTTTTGGGAACTGGAAGTACTTCTCGTGTCACTATGCCTATTGGAGTTGAAAGTTTTGCGGACTGCTCACTATTTACCGGTCTTCCTACAAAAGGATCCATATTAATTTTTATTTTATGTCCCGTAGAAGCAAATTTCTTCAATATCCCTTTCCCCATGGCCTGACCACGACTTCTTTTCTTTGAAGATGAACCTGAACCTGTACAAGAACGACAACATCACGTATATCCAACCCACAATGAAAACAAAAATATCAATTTTAGCCAAATGATCAATGATGTATACTAAATTAGACATTTGTATCACGATCATTATGTCATTTTTCATGTCAAGAACTTGAAGTTATGATTGAAAAATTAAAACTATCTCAACATCTTCAATAATAGACAAGCAAACACATATTATAACACTTATACACAACCATTAAGGATTATCCTACATTCCCACTGTTCTACTCAAACATTTAAAAAAAAAGAACTTAGAAGAACCATTGACTGTCCAACAAATTGTATTTATCATAATATTATTCCTGCAAATTCATATTGTCAAAATGGTGGAAATGTTTACCTAGGGGATCAGTTATATCAGGTGTTGAATTTTGATTGCTCTCATTTGACTGGTTGGGAAGACTATCGAAGTTTGAATTAATAGAATCTTGAGTAGTTGGAACGAGTGTTTCCTGTGTATGTGGAACAACTGTCTCTTGAGTAGATGGAACGAGTGTGTCCTGTGTAGTTGGAACAACTGTCTCTTGAGTAGATGGCATGACATTGTTATGGGGAATAGAGTCAGTTTCAGCAACTTGATTTTCTTCATCTGATTCATTTGGAGCGGGTGACTTCTCATTTGTTTTGCCTTTAGATGGAGTACTGGGTTTTGGTAGTACTCTTTTGATTCCCCTTGCTGGATCTGAATGAACCTGCTTGGACAAAAATCCTGGGGGCCCTTGATTTGACTTTGCATAGAATCTCGTACTCTTGTTATGCTTAACCCCAGGAGCCATTTCCTCAATCTGCAAAATAAAATAAATTCGTAGTATTAGCATTCATATTGAAATTGATGTCATAGCTATAAATTAATCACATAAAGTTATTTGCACCATTTCAAATAAAGACACCGATGGACGAGCTGCAAAGAGATCACTTGGAATTGCAACAAGAATA